AGGGGTTTATTATGGTTTATTAATCCAGGGTTGACATTACAACCTATTTATGGTGAAATTGGGGATGGTTTATTATTGATCTGCCAACATTAATGTTAATGTGGGATGAAATTCCCATTTGAATCAAGTAAGCCAACATTGCCGGCAGAAATCACAATACCCTCCCAAGAATAAGGTATGCCAACGTCGCATTTTTTTTGTGGTGGTAAGTGGTAGGATTATCTGGAGATGTGATCAGTGCAAACGTCGGCCCGTGGGCCAGGGAAATTTGAAATGAATAGTATATGATTGAGCATTTGGTGTCTTAATGAATTATGTTGAATTAATATACTGTAAATTAATTACTGGAGTGTATATATTTTGTTTTCGGACGTGGGAAAAACTGACGTCAATTCAATTCAACCAAAGGTGTCGTTCAAACAAGGAGGAAAACACATAGTCATCGCATTCTTCTCACCTGTCACACCAGTTAATTTTCCCTTGGAAAAGGGAAGAAAGTCACCAAAACCGGGATTGGTTTCATTTGCGCAGTGTGTCATCTTGGATAACCCAAATAGTATTCCCACACGATCTAAAATCATCCCCTTGGGCATGATACTGTACCACGCTTAGTACACCGTGGTACTGTACGATCCATCCTTGGCTGCTCTGGGCCCTTCCTGCTACACATGTGTGCGTTCATTTTTGCTCGGATGGGACCATCTTCTTTTTGAAGATGGTGAAACCACCAAAAAATCGGCAGAAACTGCCTATGGCAGTAACCCCAAGCAGCTGCTGCTGCCGAAACAAAGCCAGGGCCCCAGACTTTGTGGGGAACGTGGCCGGGAGGCCGACGCGTATGATGGCCTATGTAGACTTAAAATAGACCTGGTGAATCACGTGCCGCGACGTGTGGTCCATAAACAGCATGGGAAAATCCACAGTGCCCAACGGAAACCTGGTGGACGGTGCAAGTCCAGCATGGCTTGCAGTTGTCAAATGAGAAGGCCCCTCTTGAATCACCTACAAAACATGATGAAAGGTATGCCAGAAACGCCAGCATACAGCATATTACGACCTCCATCTGACAAGGGTGTTCAATGGTCTGCAATCAGCCACACAACCAATCAATGACTGGGTTTTCCACTTAAACCTTGACAATCCTTGGTATGGCCAATCTCAGCTACCCCCATGCAATCTTTTGAGGCGATATATTCCAACGTCCAATGTAATATCACTCCCATCAATGGCAGAATATCATGTTCCTCGTGGAATCTAGTTTCCCTATGTGTCCCTCACAAGAAACAATAGATTACAACAATATCATCCCATCCCATGCCACCAAGTGGCTGTTGTACAGCTGCTAGCTGAATTTGGGCGCCTTGGGGCACCTGACGCCATCCAAGGTCCACAACTACGCACGGTGAATTGATGTGTTATTCACCACCTTGACCGATTTTTCGTGGAATTACTTGGTAAGAGAAAGTGAGTATGGTGGAAAATCATGGAAAATCAACATCAAACATGCCCAACTTTTAATTGGGGAAAAATGGTAGGGCATAGAAACCAATTCAATGTATTCGTCTGGGGCATATTATAAATAATAATTATATAACCACTTTCGGTGTCTGGTTGCTTTTATCACATTAATCAATCATTATATAGTCTGAAGAACCTATGCAAAGGTCCCAACGACAAAATCAAATGGTTTTTGCTTGTGTTGCCTCCCTGTTAGTTAGTTCGCATCCCTGGGTGATTCATAGGATGCCGGGAAATGATCCACAGCTTCATGGCTCCACATAAACCTTAGACTTTAGCTGGTCTCAGCAGCAGGGATACAATGTGAACTCCCAAGCAACTTTTGGGTGCATTTTGCCAAGACCAAAATAAATAGCTGGTTCTAGCTGGTTCTGCTGTACGTTCATCCCCAAATAAATTAAGAAAACCCTGTTTGCTCAACATCTTGTGACCGCCATTTTGCCCCTGAGTTTGGTGCACCCCGGGACCTTGGGACCCTGGGATCCTGGACCTCCTGGGACCCTGACCTGACTTCCAAAGGCAAACTCCACGGTCGCCGGGGAGGTCTTTGGTCGGAGTAGTTCCGTGGTGGCACGTTTCTTCAGCACCTGAAAGGATAGCATGGGGATTTCTGGAGGGCCTGGGCCTTGGAAAAAAACGAGCAGGGAAGGCCTGGTGAAGAGATGCCAAGGTACTGGAAATGTCGTTTTTGGGGTTCAGGATGTTTTAGATTTGGGCAACTCAGCTGGATGATAATGTCTGTTCAGTCGGTTCCACCCGAGTCCTTCAAATGAATCATACAAGTTTTGCTCAGAGAGTTTGGAATTGCAGACATTTTGGACAAATGTAGATACAAATGTAGATATCTATTAAGCGGATGTGTCCATCCTATATGCACAGAAGCAATTCGCCACTACAGCCCCACCACCACCAACATCCACCAACAGCAGCCGTTTACAGCCCAATCTGCTGCCCGCTCACGTCCTGGGGCAGTCGTTCCTTGAGCCACCGAAAGCGGCTCATCTTCACCATTGGTGGTTCCATTGGATCTGGTGACATCAAGACATCATAACCTGCCAGGCGGCCAGGGAATTCACGGACTCCATGGTCTGTGGACTGGATGGTATCCAATGGATATTGTTGGTGAATGTTGGTGATATTCTTGGTTGCAGGACGACCTGGGATGGGATGTGAGCTGTAAATAGCTGTAATGCATTGTATTGCCATCGATTTTCGCAATTGTTCGGTGATGTTAATGACTTGATGCAGCCTGCACCAGGAGAATGGGATGGGACCGGAGTTTCAGTGTTGCTCAGTTGGTGAGCTCTGCAAATGGCGATGTTGTCCAGAGATATGACATGAAAGTGGTCACCCCTTGAAGCTTCGCACCCCTTCCATCAAAAAGTCAAAGCCCAAAAGGATCCAGAAGGACTGTCTTGTTCTTCGGGAACTAATTCCTAACATGTTTGATAAGACCAAAGTCATGAAAAACTGCCAAAGCTGGGATCTTCCCACATCATCTAAACTGAGCAACAATATCAAACCATATCCAGACTATCAAACCTACCGAAAAAATAGCTGTTTAAGGCTTGAAGAAATATCTTGAAACCATAGAAAGCCTAAAAGCCACTGGAAACCACGATAACCTATTAAATATTGGTGATTGGTAAAATATTAGGGATGATTTTCCACTTGAAACCACAGAAAGCCACCATACTCCACCAATCTTATCAATCATCCAAAGCTCACTGATACCCTGGCGCCTGCAGCTCGATGGGATGGAGCCAAAGATCTCACACCATCCATCCTCAAGGGATTAAATCTCCCTCCATCCATATCATCATATCCATTCTGGATGATTCTCCCAAATCAAATCCTCCAAAAAATGCCAGTTGTTCCATAAGTCAGCAGAAATCTAAAGGGCTAGCTGGCACATACTACCACCTCTGGATGGGTCTCCGGGTGACCGGCCCCGGTCCTTGCAAAGTGGCGACAGGCTCCCCGTGCCCGGCAGCGCTTGCAATACGCTCCTGCTGGGAGGCCAGTGCCCGGGCCGCGCGAGGGAGGCCGCTGCCGATGGCAGGGCAAGTTGTGCCAACAGATCCGTGGAGGAGGTACCAGGCCTCGAAGGTAGCGGAGCAACCCCCCAAACTGATGGTGGAGAAGTATGGTAAAGTTGGAATCCTGGAAGTTATGGGGAAAAACATCATCTTTAACATCCCGGGCAAAAAATGTTCTAATATGTTCTAATTAAGTATTTGTTTGGGCTACTGCAAATCATGAGTTAATAGACCCGTTGGCAAAATCCCTTGAACTAAATCGAGGTTTACAGGTGGGAAAATCATCGAACTATATAAAATTATATAAATAGGGATCTTCCCGCAAGCCATGTTTGACTACGCCAGAGGCTAAGTGGCATGATTCATATCATTCATGTCATTATTTTTTTAATGAATGGGTTGGATGCTGTGGCTCCTGACTTCTATGACCAAATCTAGAAGCAAGTTGCACAAGGAGGATCCCAGGTAGCAGGTAGTCCCATTAAAAACCACTGGGGTATAGTCCCACTGAAACAGTACTGACCAGTTCCTGGGGTTCCTAGGGTCCCTAAGTTTGTGGATTGGGGCAAGTGACCCTGGAGAACAGATTCACGACATATCAGAACTTCAAATGGGATCACTATGTTCGGATGTTCCCCTGTCCCCTTCTGTGGGATTCTCCTTCGCCATCTGAAAGAGTTCAACAGAAGCTGAAGGCATGTGACGGCATGTGGGATGGTTCCAAGAATTAATGGCAAGACGTGGCAACACGTGGTAAGGCAACAATTTTCGGGGGATCCTGTATCGGATGATGCAACCCCTGGTTTCTTGCATTCCCCAGCGGATCCTTGGTTTGAAATTGGCTTACTGTATCCCCATAGCAGCCAGGCTGGTCAGCTGCTCTTGAAGGTTGAATCTTCGCTTCAGGATGGTCCCCCAGTTGAAGGGAAAAGAATATGTGGTTTCTCGTAGGTGCTCCCTCGATACTATCATATCAATGAAACAGTGTTTGATAGTTTAAGCCTGATAGTTTTCCCAGTGTTCCCATCAAATATACTGTATGTGTTTCCTGCAAGTGTTCCCGCAAAAAAAATCCCAATGATTCAACGTCCTTGATGGATTTTGGTAGGTGCAAACATCCCGGGCTCAAACTAAACCCTGATGTTGATCAGTTCTCGAGCTGGTGAGTTTTCTCAGGTTTTTGTTTAACCATCAAATGTAGCGACATTGGGATCATAATCCCAAAATATCCGAAATCGATGATCTTGAGAGCAAATGAAACACATCCGTATTCTGTGGTGGATCTTGAATAAAATCACTTCAACTCGACCTTCCAACACAGGACTCCTATGGGTCACGCCTTGGGGTCGCTGCACTTTGCGCTTCATCAAGCTCTGGCTCTGCTGGGTGGCCTTGGCTCATCCTCTGTCACCTTTGGGGGGCTTCACTAGATGGTGTACAAAATGTGTCCCATAGGCATTGACTAAGCGACATATCTGGGTCTATGTTCAAAGCCAAACTTAATTGTTTTGCTTAAATCTATGTCTTCAAATCATGAGTTCCCTTCCCATCCAGTATACATATTGTTGCAAGATTTGAAGATGTCGGAACATCTTATAGAATCTTATAGACTCTTATAGATAATCACCTTTCAACTTTGGATCCAAATAGGGCGTCCCAATGGGTCCCACTCTTGGTATCCCTTGGTCCACGCAACGAAACTGTAGTTGTTGGACTTGATCACGCTCTTGACCGAGGTCTCTTCCCGCTTGGGTGGGGCATCTTCCTTCTCGGGCTGGAAGTCCCACTCATCAAGGAACGCCACCTGCGTTCCACAAAATCAGTGGCAGCATGTCCCGGTTCAGATTTTGCAAGAAAAAATGACCAATGAAGTTGAGTGTGAAAAGGCTATTGGTCAAAACCCTGGCACCTAACCCCAAGTCATAGCTGGTAAATGGATGTTCATCCCATTAGAATTTAGATAATAATAGGTTTTGACCCACCCCCATAAAATCCTTCAGCCCATTTTTTTTTTTCGGTGGGTTCCCCCACCTGTTCCAGCGACAGAGATCCCATACCCTCGGCATCCAGCTGTTTGAAGAGGCTGGCGGCCCCTTGATTGAAGCCATAGATGCGACAGGCATAGCGCCACTCGCGCATGGTCACACTGTTGGATCCATCACCTGACCATGGGAAGAATGTTGGAACAAGGGGGCAAATCCTGAAAGTATGGGTCTTGTAAGATTGAGTTCGATATCGATGAATTTAATATAGGTATAGATAGGTATAGATACATATAGATATAGATAGAGTATGTCGACAGATATAGATATAGATAGATATAGGTATAGATAGATATAGATATAATATGGGTATAGATAGATGTAGGTATAATTAGATAGATGTTGATATGGAAAAATTACATATAGATATAGACACAGACATAAACATAGATAGATACGATATACATAAAAAATACTTTGCTGGCTAAATCCATTTCTTTACTTACATTGATTATATACATTAAATCCATTTTGCATTGGCTTCATTGAACCATATTCAACATCAATATCTTGTTGCTGAGACCCTTTTTTGTTTTGATCAAATCCCAGCCCTCCTGTAAGATTGAAACTAAATGTGGGTTCCACCCACGATTTCAAAATAATTTTCCCACGGGTTCCCCCTGTTTTCCTGGCCCGGAACCATGAAAATATCCCACTCATATTCCATTCACATCCCCATTAATGCCGTTCATATATTCCACTCAAATATATATATATAATATATATATATATTTATACATATATTTATACATATATTACACATATCATTCATGTCATATCCATTCATGTCCCCAGTATATCAGTATATCACCATTGTTGCTGATGAAATCCCTGTGTCCACCATGTTTTTCCATGGCTGAACCCCCGAAAAGGCGGCCCACCGTCGAAGACGGCGAAGGCCGAGCGGATGCCGCCGAAGTTGTCATCCGCCCAGGCCTTGAAGGTGGCCAGCACCTCGGAGGACCTCACGAAGAAAAAAACGCTGAGTTACATAGCTATTGAACATTGCCATTTTTAATGAGGAAAATCACCATTTTTAATGGGAAATATGGAGGAATTTACCCTCTTTTTATAGGTAAATCATCTATAAATGGGATATACCCTCTGGTTATGTCAAAATAGCTATGGAAAAATCCACCATGCTATTAATGGGAAAATCCACTATTTCTATGGCCATGGCTTCAATAGCTATGTTAAATTACCAGAGGGTACCCCATGATGGGTGGTAGTGGAAAGCCCATTTTGATATGGGAAACATCTATAGGGAAAAAACAAAAATAATGATTTTACTGGGAAAATCTATAGGGGTGTCTACTCAATGGATTGGTTTAGGCGGGACAATCTTAATCGGAAACCATCGATTTTTCCCCTTAAACCAATCCAGTGAGTATACCAACTCAGACGCCAAGAGAGTTTTGACATATCCTCCATGGTACTGGGAGTTTTGACATATCCGATAGCACCGATGTTATATCATGTTATATCATATCCATACATCACTAAATCCTCCATATATCCATTTGGTCATATGGATATGTGTCAAAATTGTGTACCCCAATAGTTGGATAATTAATCCTAAAAATAGATCAAAAACCTGTGGTCCCCCATATCCTCCACAGATAAAATAGTTCTTTAATTTGATCATATCCTATCATATCCTTACATCCCCACGACCTTCCCTATCTTCGAAAAAATAGGGGATGTCTCATGACTTTCCCATGATTTTCCCATGATTTTCCCATGTTCCCAGCCACTCTTTGTCAATCTCCTGCAGCGTGATGCTCCCAGAGAGGTCTACATCCAGTGCGCGCCAGGCGCCAGCGATGTCACCCAGAAAGCCTCACAGCTTTCAGAGATTCGACACCTGAAAAAATGACCTGGGATTGAACTGGGCTAACCATGGTTAATAGTGATTCATAGTTTAGTAGTGGTGAATTACTAGTGGTTAATAGTGGTTAATATTGATGGTGAATGGTGATTCAAACATGATATATCGTAATTATATAGATATCATGACCTATGGATACATTGGATGCTATAGACTATATAGATATAAAACTTCCATCATGGAACTCCGTAAATCACACGTTCCCTGTATGTTGCAATGCATTCCCATGAAGTGGTCACTTGTCAATCATGGCAGTTGTATTTTGCCTGACGCAACTGGCTGGTATTATGCCGTCCATATATGGAAAACAACATGCCTTTCTCTCGTTGATACCCCCCACCGTGTGGTTGAGCGCTTTTCACTGGATCCATGATTACCCCCAAACCTAGGGTTTAAATCTTTACTTTCCGTAATCAATTTCAACATACATACATACATACATTACATTACATTACATTACACTACATTACACTACATTACATTACATTACATTACATACATTACCTACATTACATACAT